CCCCCCGTGACTGCGCATGCTCTCAGCCCCTTCCCCGGTATCTCCCAGCACCAGGACAAGTTCACTAGGCGTCACATAAACAGGAGCTGCCTCTTGTTAGTTTTTAACCTGCCCGAGGGGTCTAGCTTCAGGCAGCCGTGTGGAGAGCAGGGGTACTGTTTCTTCGTCTCTCTAATGTATTTGTGTCTAAGGATCAAAGTACAGGCAGCCCTCGGACTTGCACACAATTAGTTTCCAACAGCCATGTCTTCAGTTGAAACGTTGTCACTTGGAACTGATTTTCCCCTAGGAAACAATATTATAAGTGGGATTGGATCCTGAACCACAGCCTAGTACCCAGTTTTTACCAAAAATACCCCAGAATTTTGTAATCAGTCAATTATAGATGAGTAACATCAGTGTATTGATATTGTAAATAGTAATCATATTGATTTGGAAGGACTTCTTGGAGGTGACTTTGCTGGACTTTTTGAAGGGCTCTCAGCTGGAGTCTTCTCAGGAGTCTTGTCTGCAGGTTTTTCTGGCATCTCATCTGCTTTCTTAAAGAAAGTGCCCGAGGATGTTTGGACAGATGTTCTCCAGGGAGGTGGGCGGTGCAGCGAACTTTGTTAGCTGGCGTAGCGTGGTGTGGTGTCGGATCAAGCGTTGTAAAGTCGAAACTGACATCAGAAAGTTTAAACCGGGTGTCCATTTATAAATGTTGAAAGTGCGAAACGTAACTCGAACCATTGTAAGTTGAGGACTGCCTGTACTATGTTTGTGCTGTACACACACGTACACAAAGGCAAAGGCCAGATCCTTTTCGAGGCTTTGTTCCCATTGAAATGGATGAGAATTGGGCACCTAAATGCCTCTGAACATCAGGGACATAGTCCCTCCTGCAAAAATTATAATCTAAGACTGTAATCTAAGACTATATTTATTCATAGATTCTAAAGTTGGAAGGGACCTCAGAAGATCATCGGGTCCAGCCCCAATCTAGACTATAATCTAATTTATAATCTAAGATTGATGCTAGGCTCTTTGGGTGGGAAAGCAGCAGTCTATTGAACTGCTTTAAGATATGTTATCGTTAGCTTTGTACAGCAGGTAGAGGGGGGAAAAATGCCTATAAAGCTATTGTGACCCACTGGATCTTGCATAGCTAGATGGCTGCTTGGCGTTTCCAGCATTTTATCTGTTCCTCGTGTGAATTCAGCTTTCACCTTGTGTATGGTTGTTCGCAGACATTACCAGCCTTGCTTGGAGGGTTTCTATGCCTGTACCATGCTGATGTGTACAGCTTGGGGTTTGTTCGTGCTCCTCATCCCTATCCTTATTACTAAGAGGGATATACAAGTGTATTTACTGTCAATTCTGTTTCTGGCAGTGAAGATTGCCACCAAGGCCAATCCATGGGAGGGGAAGACACTGAAGCCTGCGAGTGTTCGGTCTCAGCTGGAAACATCCCTTGAGAGATTACGGAGGAGTACTGTGGAGCTGTTCTACCTTCATGCCCCTGACCATGAAACCCCTGTAGAGGAAACACTTCAAGCCTGCAATGAGCTACACAAGGAGGTAAAGGGAGATGCTTGAACCTGGGCTTTCCTTCACTTTTGTTGTGTTGTTTCAACTAGGATTGCTGCTTGTATCTCTCTCCTGGTGTGGGCTACATCAGCACACTGGTGGGGGGATTCCTCAGTGCAAACAGAAGAGAAAGCAATGATCTGTAGGAGGATTTAAAGCTAACACCATATAAAAACTCCAATCCTAATCCCTTATGTGAAATCTCATCAGCTCTCAATCTTCAGAAATTCTGACCTTTGCTTTATGCTGTAAATTGACCCTACACTAACTTTAGTATTAGTAGAGGTGAGAAGTTTTTAGACTGTATTTGCCATCTTGCTTTTGAATCCAGCTCTTCTAATTTAAACAAAATAAAGAAAGCATTCTTATGTAGATTGGTTCTGGCAACTGACCTCCAGATGAGGGGATTATAAAAAAGGAGTGTTTGAATTTGAAGGCTGCAGTGCAGTGATTGACCTTTTCATTGTGTTAATCAAACTGTGTAGGTATGAATGCACTCTGTAAAGCTGAAATGAAATACTCTTTTATTTCTCAACAGGGAAAGTTTGAGGAGCTGGGTCTCTCAAACTATGCGGCTTGGGAGGTAGCAGAAATCTACACCCTCTGCAGAATCAACAACTGGGTGCTTCCAACTGTGTACCAGGTGAGGGATACTGGCTTGATGCAGGCAAACTGATCTTCCAGTGGAGAATAAGACAAAAAAACCCCAGCCTTCTCCAGCATGGTGTCCTGTGGTGTTACCATCCAGGGTAGCTCCTGGGCAAATTAGTTCTGCCTGTTGTTACTGATGCCAAGAGTTAGAAAAGCCAGAGAAGCCTGGAAAATTTATAAACTGTTATCCTACTTGTTGCAATGACTCCCTATCATCATGATTATTAGTTACTCAGGTAGTTCCTAGGAGCCTTGCCCAGGGACTTAGATCCCATTGTGCCAGGTACAAAGAACAACTACCTATTCTAATGAGCCCTTTGGACAAGAGTGATTACGAGGTGAAGTGGGGTCATTTGTCAGACAGATAAATAGGTGTTTGTCCTGTGTTCCAGTAACTTCCCTTGATGTAAAACCTATAGTAGCTTAATAGAGAGCTACAATCCAGAAATTTTTTTCCTTAGTAGGCACCAGCTTCATGTGACCTGATGGCTCACAGTTCTGATCTGTTCTGAATGACCTGTAGTAGTCATGGGGAAAGGGAAAGAAGGCAATTCTGTCTCCTTTGTGCACTGCTAGGAACGTAGTAAAAGCCACATGATCGCTTCACCTAGGGGGTAAACAGGAAGCAGTGTGTATGCCTGTGTATGAGCATGCCTGTGTGTACGCAAGGGTTGAAATAACTGCTGTGAAGAGCTTGCTTTTGGGGACATAAGCTTGTTCAGGAGTTAACGTGGGAGGATGCTAGTCTGTAAGTATCAGTGGCTGTGAAGATAGGCCCAGAGGACAAAACAGATGAAGAGAAGAGCACAAACATTCTTCTGAATTTTAACTTGTTTGCACTGTCGACCTGGGGCTTTGAAACTGTCACTGGTACATTGTGTTGGGTTGGTCATGGGCGCCTAAAATCTATGTAGCATTGATATTCTACAGTTAGGGCCCAGCAGTGAATGATACTTTAGACATACAGGTTAATGATGCCAGTGGTATTGATAATCCCCTACAAATCAGACTGAGTTGGCTTTCATAGATAGCCAAAAAGCCAATCAGTGGTAACAAGCTATTACTAGCCTGGTCTGGATTCACACTGAAGGACATCAGAGTTTTCCGCTTTCATTTGCCCTTGAGCGATCCAGGTACCATTCTGAGGGTCTTTTTATTATTCTTATTTGTTGTAGGGCATGTACAATGCAACCACTCGACAAGTGGAGACGGAGCTGTTACCGTGCCTTAGACATTATGGAATACGGTTCTATGCCTACAACCCATTGGCTGGTACGAGATGGGTGAGGGTAGGAGAAGTGGTCTGCTAAATGAGCCAGAGGAATGGATGAACAAAATTAAACAAAAATGGCCAGTAAATTGGCCTGCTATAAACTCTATGCAGGAAGCCAATACAAATACCAATGCTTAGACTCCCTAATACAGCAAACCACTGCCGGAGGCTTACAAGTGAAAGATAGTGGTGTCAGAGTAACTGAGTGGCTCAGAGGGCAGATAATGGTAGCTTTCCATCTGTATGTTTCCAGCCTGAATCCAGCTCAGGTTAATGGCAGCTAGAAGTTTGAAGGTAGATTTGATTCCCTAATTGATCAGTGTGTGGTTGTTGCTGTATGCTCCCCTGCTCCCTCTTGAAAACAGCCCCAAGGTTAGGAGCATCACCAGAAAGAGAAGCGGTTGAATTAGGCTGTGAAAGCTGAACTCCCTCCTTTGGATGGTAGGCTGTCTTTTAAAGTCTAAGGCAGATTGCCTATTCTGCATTTGTCTGACTGGAAGGCTATCAAATTGGCACCTTTCCCACCAGTAGATTCACACTGAGACTTTTAAAGAGGGAATCAAAGTGACAGTCTTTCATTAATGTGGTTATGCCAAGATACCCCTCTCATCTTAGCATGACTCCTGTTGGGCTGGTCTCCCCCTGCCTTTGGAAGACTTCTGTCATTTAACCTGAATGTGTGGGATTTTTACATCCTCAGAATTGTCTCTTCTTTGTCCTGTTCCCTCATAAGGTTCATGTGTGTACAGGGCTGTAGAGGCCAAGGGGTTGGAATATTTAAGGCTGCAACAATCAAACACACAGATTGTAAAATCCAGGCCATTGACAATTGCCTGTTGCTGAACCTTTGCAGGAGGGCTGCTGACAGGGAAGTACAAATATGAGGATAAAGACACGCGCCAACCCACTGGCAGGTTTTTTGGAAATGACTGGGCACAGGCCTACAGGAACAGGTATGATTTCAGTAGGTGGATGGGCAGAGCTGGAGTTCCCCTGGTACTGGCATGCTGGCCTTGAGCTGGCCTAGATAAGTCATGCAATGAACATGTAGGAAAAGACAAGCGACTAAAGGCTCTTCAGCAATTGTCCCACAGGCAGATGAGGAGCTCCTGTGGCTATTGCAGTGGTACATGCTGTTCACAAACAACAGTGCCTTTACATTTTCCTGGAGTAGCAGGATGACGATTTTGTTATATGAGACTTGGTAATGGGAAAAAGTGTAGAAAGGTTACAGCACGTGACTATGTAGGGAGGCCCCTAGGTTCTCCTTTGCTTTACCACTGAATTAATAAGAAGCCTTATGAAAGATCCTTTGAGTAGCTCTTTGCTTGTCTCTCAAGCTCTGGGACAAGGGATATTTACCTCATTACAGGTGATTGAGGCTTCATGTTTGCAAAGTTCTTTCAGTTCCCCAAAGGAAATCCCTCCTGCTGTCAACAGAAGCAACAAATTGCAGTAAGGCAATTGCTGCCTAACCTCACTTCTGCCTGTAAGTACAGTAGTGGCGTAGTTGTGAAAAAGGATGCAGGGTATGAGTTGGCTGTTGTCACAACACACGTCTATTCTGTTAGCTGAGAAAAACTTGCATTCTGCACCAGAGAGAACTGGCCATTGGGTCTGAAGCCTCAGCTGGTAGGGTTAACCTTGTTAACCTCTGACTGCAGTACCTTGGGGAGGTTGCCTTTGGGATCAAGAATAAAATCCACAATGGGTAGTGTTAGTCACTAGGGCTCTGTTGGTCCAAGACTCCCTGTGATTGGCTGGAGATGCCCCTCTCTTCTCTTACACAGATCCAGCCCCATAAGATGAAACCTGAGGTAAGAGTTACTGACTTTGATATCTTATAATGCAGGTACTGGAAAAAGCACCATTTTGAAGCCATTGCCCTAGTAGAGAAAGCTCTTAAGGAGGCGTATGGGGCTGACCCGCCCAGTCTCACCTCAGCTGCTTTACGCTGGATCTACAATCACTCCCAACTTAAGGTAAGTGCTTGGCTTTAATGCAGACAGTTGGTGTGTGCAATAGAAACAGAATCCTACAGTTGGAAATCCTACATTTTCCAATTGCAACCTGTCAGCCGTGTGGTCATCTCTTAACTCACATATTAGCTTTGGACATTTAAAAAAGAACCATACCCCTCTGGCCAGGGGGTTGTCCTTCCTGCTGTATCATGTCTCCAGGAGATTGTTCAGAGGAAGATGCTATTATCAGCTTCTCTAGTTTTGGTTTCTCAACTAGTTCCTTTCCCAGGGGGTGCCAAGTTGCCTCTTTCATGTGGCCACAAATGTAATGGCTGGATTTTCTTCCTCCAGTCACTGCTGGCCACTTAAGGAGCATAAAGCAGCTACCTTTGAGGGTGGTGAGACTTGTAGGCAGCAGCAGCAGCCTACTGAGCCTTGGCTTTGTTAGTAGGAGTGTAGTAAGCCTCATTTCCCTAGGCACAACATGCAGCTGGGGAGGTAACTTAGGTTTTCTTCAAGAAAGGTAACTTCTCTCTTCTCACTGCAGGGGGATGTGGGAGATGCAGTCATTATTGGGATGTCCAACATGGATCAGCTGCAGCAGAATCTCACTTGCAGCGAAGAGGGTCCCCTACTTCCAGCTGTGGTGGAAGCATTTGATAAAGCTTGGCACCTCGTTGCACATGATTGTCCCAACTACTTCCGCTAGGTCATGGCGGTAGGAGTGTCTGTGCAGAGAGTGGCAACCAAGTCTCTCCAGGTCTGAAACCACATCACCCCTCCCAAAATGACAGATTATTTTTCCGGCCTCGTCCTATGGGTTCTGCCTGATAGACGCTTAGTGCTGCTGAGTGTTTTTTTCCTACACGATTGAGATCTTTCATGTGATCATAATCTAGCTTGTCTGAATGCTGGTGGCATTCAGTTCACAGACCACAACAGTGTCTGACCTTTTTTTCCTCTTTCAAGGCCAAAATGCCTTGAGTATCTCTTAACACTGCAGCTCTTGCCAGTCCTAATCAATCACACACCATATCATGATTCAGTGATATAAGTAATTTAAGGAATGGAACCTAAACCAGTTAAGAGAACTAAAGTGGAAATGTAACTTGTCTGTCTCCAATCCGGACAGCGTCTTTGCTGTCAAAATAAAGCATTTTCTAACCTGGATTACGTTGGTTTAATAGTGAATTTTGTATTGAAGTTTTGCTGAAAGCTATTTTTTGCTAACTGCTAACTTAATTTTCAATTGTAGCTACTGGACATGCGCAGTTGCCCTGTTTCCAATCCAGCTGTGACACTTAGCAAGCCTCTCAATGATCAGGGCTGACCTTTAAACAACTAATTAGGCCTCTTGAAGCTGGCTTTAGCTGATATACTTGCTGCCTCAGCTACAGGCTTCTTAAAACATGTTTAAGAGCATAACTGAAGGAATGATCTTTGTTTTGTTGTCGGGGAAACTCAAGCACAGGAACCATTCCATTTGTTCAGTAACTAATGGCTGTGTAACATTGTCTTCTTCCAATTTTACTGATGATGCCTATTTGGACATTAGGCCGAGGTCCTGGCTTAAGAAGCAAATATTAACTTTATTTTGCCCAGAGGGGCATTTTGAATTGTCAGCATGGCACCAGTAAAGGCTGGAGTTACGCCCAGGCCCTCTTAATGTGTGAAACGCATTAATTATAATAAATCAGATGATAGCATCAGCAGAATGATGTCCTCCCCTTCTGCCTTGACAGTAACACTTATTCCACTGCCTATAGTTTTAAATAATTTTCCTTCTCTCTAAAATAAGGAAACCAAGTCATTTGATAAAGTGTGATTAAAATAGCCTGAGATGGAGGAGGGAGAAACTATAGTGGTGACAGCTGTTTGGTTTGGCTGTTGGCCTTAAATTTTTAATTCACATCTGTACTCAGCAACAGACTTGGCTGTAGGCTGACCTAGTCGGCATTACTTGTTGACTGGTATCTTCCCCTGTTAAAACTGAGAGACTTATGGGGCAACTCTAGAGAGAAGTTGTATCTCTACTGCAAAGCAACAAGTTCTAAGCAGTTCTCTGAGGAGGAAAGATTGCAGCAACGAAGTAGATTTGTGCACATACTCACTGAGTCTGAAAAATAGATTTATAGGGAAAGGTTTCATTTTCCACATGATCTTTACCCTGTCCTCAGATTCTGTAAGGTCTCTCTCTCAGGGTTTCCCATCCAAGCAGTGATGAGCTGTACTGAAAGTGTCCAAATTGTAATTTTTTATATAAAATTTAATTGCAACTTCCGTGATAGATAACAAGTCCGAGATGGTCAATTTCATCCTGCTCCAACTGGGAGAGAAACGTAGGCTTCTACTGATCGTCCCTAAAACAGAACAACACTGTCGCTTGTGTCCTTCAGTAGCCTTGTACTAGTCATCCTCCTCCTCCTCCTCCTCTTCCTCCATTTCCTCTAGTTCTTCTGTGTCTTTGGCCAGCTGCTGGAAGTCTCCTGTCTCAGAGTTCCACACACATTTGATGGTCACTTTAAATTCTGACATCTCATAGCCAAACAGTTTCTAAAAAAGAAACAGGAAATCATCACTAATGGTTCTAGTCTCTTTGTGCCTAAATTGTACACTTACAGTAGAAGCCACTTTTAAATAGGGATGGCGGGTGAGGTAGGAATTAAAAGGCTCACTTTTGGAGAGGCATGTTGGCAAATGAACTACAACAATCACCTATATGCAGGTAGTTTTCTTTGTCCATTTGCTACATGGTAAGTACTTTTATTGCTGTTCTCATCATGCCTGCTGTAAGCTGACTAGAATGTGAAGGTTAGGGTCTAGGAATGAGGTCAGATGTTATGTACAACTCATTTAGCAATACCCTGGCCATACAGGGAACTTGAACCTAGTAATTTTCCTCTGTTTTTACAAATAAGCAATAACTGCCTCTTGAACATTAGTCAGCAGCTGGGCTCCCACAGTTGTCCCCTGGATTATCAGTTTTTCAAGCACGTCATTAATTCCCTGTCTCAAGCATTATTGCTTACAGGGCAACCGGTTTTTAGAAAGCATATCAAGCTATAACAAACAGCAGCTACCCTACATCCTGATTGGTCCCTATAACTGCAGTCATGTCACTTGAGCCCAAATGGCTCTGAGGCACAGAATTTATCTTCATATCCAAACCAACTTGGCACTCTTGGGGCAGCTTAGTGGATGGTATAATGACAAATGCTGGCTTTTGCTGAATGGCAGTTGTGCAGATGTTCTGGAAGTACGTTACTCACCAACACACGAGCCTGTTCAGGAGTCAGGACATCCCCCTCCTTACAGATTTCATAATCTGAAAGCAGTGTCACCACTCCTGCAAGAACACGGAAAAAGGCAGGTGGGATGAATGGCACTTGAGGCAGAGGACCATTGAGGTCACTTG